TCTTGGAAATTGAATATCAGATATTTTCAGAACAAAATAGCAAAAATATATTGATATTGGCAAGGGTTAGATATATTTTGGACGGGAAAGCACTACACGTTTTGTATTCTTCATTGATTTTACCATACTTAGAGTATGGCGTTGAAAACGGGAAATACATACATAAGCTCACTTCAACCATTGTATATATTACAAAAAAGAGCGATAAGAATTGTGCATAAGATGGGGTATAGGGATCACACCAATGTAGCTTTCATACAGTCTAAATTGTTTAAATTTTTTGATTTAGTGGGATATAAGACTGCTGTGTTTTTGTATAAAGCCAGGAACAATTTATTACCTGGTGGAATTCAAAAACTATTTAATGAAAGGGAAGGGGGATACAATTTAAGGGGTCAGTTAAATTTAAAAATTCATGCTATACGTACAACCAAAAAAAGATTTTGTATTTCCATAAGTGGGGTAAAACTATGGAATAATTTAAGTGTGGACATAAAAAATAGTAATAGAATTGACGAGTTTAAACATAAATATAAAGGTATGTGTCAATCAAGATATATGCAAGAACAGGTTTAATGATTAATCAGATGGAACATTGTGGGTGTGGTGTATGAATGTTAACACTCTGTAATAATTCTTTAGTATATTACTTGTGTGGTGTAGAGGATAATTATTTATGTAGAGATATTGCTTAGGATTTAAAAGTTGTAAGATGATGTTAGGGGGTAGAACTAGATAAGTCTAACTTCTTCCTACTCCGTTCAAGCATGTACTAGGTATAAGTAAATTGATATTGGATTATTATTGTTGGACATGTGTTGACATATCAACTGTTTTACATGCTTGAATGAATAAATCAAATCAAAGTTAATACTCTATCATCAATTTTAGTTAGATAACATCATGACATATGAGCTCACTTGAGATTAAAAAATGCTGAGTAGTACAGATCATGTGTAATAAAATTTGTCAGTAAACAGTAGTCTTAGTGGATTCCACAGATGTTATCTGTTCTGTTTCAGTGTAACTTCAGAGAACCTGATTTTACCTACTGTCTTTCTAGTTTGCTTCTTTTATTATGGGAAGACAAACATGTCTGGACCAAAGACCATGTGGACACAGTGACTAAACAAGTGAGATGAACGCTCAGAGCTCTGAGAGCAGGTTGACAGAGGCGCATTCGACATCGTGGTACGGAGAGAGACTTTTGTCAAGAAGGTGGATTATTAATATGATTAAACTTATTATTTTTGGTAATGTTAGTAATGAATGCAAGTGACAGCCACACTGAGGGATTGATTGGGGTTTGAAGATGGTGAGTGAAACCTATGTTTCTCTTGTGCTTTTTATTTTCAGATTTTCACTTAAAAAACCACATTTTAGCAAATGTGGTTTTTTGTTTGTTTGTTTTAAGCAGCATTTAACTTTACTTTGTTAGATTTATTACCATTTGTTTTGCAGCTTGGAAAAACAAACTCATTCATCAATTTAAACTGAATAACAAGGAAAAAGTTAAAAAAACTAAGCATGTTTCAGCATAGATTAAAAACTAATTTAACACAACCAATTAAAAACAAGAGAACAATATGACAAGGGCTGTTTTTCTGGTGACAATGGTGCAATTAATTTGCTGAAGTACAAATTTAGTTCTGAATATATGATGCACACTTATACCAAACTTGTTTCACTAGTAAATAGTATGTATTTCATATATCCATATTATACTTGTAATTAGCATATACTGTATTTCCCCTGTAAATAGTGTATAACAAAGCAATAGCAAGTGAGGTTGTTGTGACAGCTACTGGTTTTAAACTTTCACTTGTTCTTTGGAGGACATACCGATTGGAATACTGCTCTAGTCATGTGAAAGTCTTTTCTCCCTGCGCTGACTTCAAACAACAAACCCTTGCACTCCCATCAGCAAACTGCAGAGAATGACAGCATGTCTTTCAGGTAAATAACAATCCTGCTGGCGTCTACAAGTTATATATTAACAGTGTTATTCTAGCCACTAGGCAAATGAGAAAACTAACTGTATTTTTACATGGCATGTATAGTATGTTGGTGTTAGATTTATTATTGCAATTATGCAACCCTGTCATTCGGTTCCGCTGCTTCCTGTCCGGCTTTTTGACGTTACTTCCTGTTTTAGTTTCACCTTAGTTTCGGTCTGTTTTCACCTGTTTCGTTATGGTTTGCACCTCTATTTAGGCAGCGTCCTCCCACCAGGACGCTGCCAGATTGTTCTAGACCCCAGCTCTGACTTTCCAGCATTGTCTTCGGTATTGGTATGTTTGTGTTTCTGACCCGGACTGCTTCCTTGGATTGTTCTGTTCTGCCTTGCCCTCTTATTTTGGACTGCTTCTGTGTATCGGCTTAACGGACTTATCTTTGGACAACGCGTTTTGGATTCCCCTGGATGTATGTGTTTGCTGGCTCTGATCTCGGACTGTTATACCGACCGTGAGTTTTGTGTTTCCACCGTGTCTTGTATGGTTTTTTGTTACGTTAGTTCTCTTATTAAAGAGACGGGTTTTGTTCATTACTTCCTCGTCTGGCCATTTAATGAGTTCACCTAACACTTTTCGGCCGCATCGAGCCGTTTCTGACAGTCAACCCCAGGGGCTATTTTCAAGAAGTGATTTGTCATTCAAAAAAAAAGCACCTTCCTCCAGGGGTGGTGAGTGAGATATCTCAGCAAAATGGGTCATTCACAGCCACGTAATGTGGAAAGTTATACAAACATATAAATGGCTAATGCAGGAATCATGTCTGTTTGTGTATGCGTTCAGGGAGGTGGAGGAGAAGATGGTGTGCATCAGCAGTAAAGACTCTTTCTTCTAATCATGCACTGAAGCCGCTGGTTCCCACTTTTTGCCTGGTGATTGTGGTGATATATGGCGTGGCTGACAAACTCCGAAACTTTGTGGCCAGCATCTTCATTCCTCAGTACCACTACCCATATGCTGTGGCTCTCAGCTTTGCCCAGGTTGGTGCCCACTGTCTGCCTTGTTTGTATAGATGTCTGTGCAAATTCTCAGTCATCCAGGTCATAGTATGCTGAAAAAACTTAGAAGAAGGCATCTGGACATAATGTTAGGTAGAAGACATTTCACCTCTCATCCAGAGGCTTCATCAGTTCTGCCTGACTGGTGATGAGCAGGATGTATTTATCCCACTGGGTGCTGTTTTGTTTAGACAGCGTACTGGGTGTGCCTTTATTAGTGTTTTATTATTTCTGCCAACACATAGGCAAAATTCATACAACACACAGTATAGCAACAATAAAGTATCATATAAGCCCAGATGTTGTTAATGTATTTATGTAAAAATGCTATATCAATACTGCAATAACTGCTACTACTAATAACATGTCAGTGTAGAACAAAATAGGCTCACTAACAACTCTGAGTTGTTAATGTATGCTGAATTAGAGCATTGGATTGTTACTCTTTAACGCAGTTAATGTCATATCCATTGGCTGCTCACTGTTGTAACTGTAGATTGTAGATGTTTAACTAAATGTCTGACCAAAGGAAAATGTATCTAGTAAATGTGTTTGGTCTAAAGGTTGAAACTAGCTAAAGTGTGAGCTTTGTGAAAGTGTAGAGAATGACTTTGAGTGTTAAAGTGCATTTATTATGGGCGTAATGTAAAAATCTGAAAGTTGTAGGCCATATGATTTCTGAGTTTTAAAATTGCACTGTGGTGATGGTATCATCAGAGCTACACATGATTTAAAAGTTCTGAAGCACAGATACTGAGAGAGGCTTTAAAGACTTATAACATTACTTCATAGGTTAAAACTGCATACGTTCATGTGTTATATTGTTTGCAGTAATGACAGTGGGAGTTGGTTTGGTACATTCTACTTCTACATCCTGTATTTTAGTCCTCATTTGTACCCTTGTATTGATTTTCTGTCATGAAATATACCTTACTGTTTCATAAAAGTAGATGAGTAGGTGCAAACCCAGTTCATTTCTGGTTTGCATCATCAGCATGTAAGTCAAGAATTCAAAATCACTGTCAGTGACTCTAGAGAAATTTCTCTTTCATTAAGAAATGCAGATATTTCTATGCTTAATGCTCAACAATATCTGCACTGAATGTAAATTACGCACGTAGGTTGTAGCCACTGGTATATTTTGTTTGTCAAAACTCCCATGTTGCGCCAGATCAGCAGCCTCACATCAGGATGACAAAAATACTTCTGATTTCTATTTGAGTTCTTTAGAGCTTTGTTGTATGCTTGCACAAGTTTGTAAATATACTGTAATGGTTTATCTTTGCATTGTATCATTGTTTCCAGGTTCTGATCTCCTTGTTAGTCTTAAATCTCCTCCATGTCCTTGATCTGGTGCCTCTGAAGCATTACTCCGGGTGTCTGGGTGAGAAGGTGCTGGTGCCTGCCATCTGTAACAGCATCTATGCTGTGCTGGCCATGTGGGCCAAAGCCAACAGTTCGTACATGGGCCTCTTTCCCCTCACCCTGCCTCTACTGCCCCTGTTAACAGCTGGCTTTAGTTTTACCCTGAAGCTAGCATCACCACCATCTATCCACATGTCTGTTCTGATTTTCATTTTGAGTGGGACTTCCCTTGTCATTACAGGTAAACTTTCAGATATTATTTGGAGGTGAAATTGATAGCTCTTCGCCCTCAGTACAAATGAACTTTAATGAATTTCCTCTCTCTCTTTCTCTCAACAGCGTCCAAGGGACTATCAGATATTGAACCTCTGGAGTACATTTATGCACCTCTGGCTTTAATCCTCCTCAGTCTTTCTCTGACTTGGCTGGCTAAAGTGTCTGAGGCTGAGCGTTGCTACTCCCCTGAAGCCCAAACCTCTATTTTTGACATCTATTACACCCAGTTAGTCAACCAGAGCTGGGTGCTAGCCCTCTTGTGGCTGCTACACCTGGACAATCCCTGGCAGGTGTTGCATCAGGGCAACTGGCACAGCCTCCTCTTTCATGGATACCTGCTTGCTATTCTCTTACTGGGGATGGTACTGAACTTCCTGGTGGGTATATCAGCTCTGTGGGTCTCACCGCTTGCTGCTGCACTGCTCCACTCAGCAAGGCAAGTGGTACAGCCGTTCGTCCAGCTTCTGTAGTTTCAATCTAAAAAAAAAAACAATTGTCTTGTACATCTGTACTGGGCAGGACAGTCCCTGTCCCAGGACAGTGGTGACTGTCTAATATAAGATACTGTCAGAAGCTAAATTACATATTAATTTAGAAGCTATCATTATTAAACTTTTTTATAACTGTATATGTATTATATTTAAAATTGGAAGTAAACATTTTACCATTTCACATGCTTAGAAAAGTAATGTGAATAATGTTGAACTGTGAAGATTGTAACTGAATCTGTATACATTTAACAAACTGAAATAAAACCACTTGCAAAAATATTTATTTTGTTACTAACAACCAAATGTAAATGCTGTCATAAACCACCATGAGTACAAACATCTAGAATGCAGCATGTCATTGAAATGCACTGTAAACTTGATTTAATGGTACTTAAAAAGCTCCACAGGACGTCTTCAACATCCATGAGTGCCTCCTGACAGCAGTACATATAATGTTATGAAGGCTCTCTGCTAACAGCTGTAGGTGGACTTGATGGTAATTCACCATTTTCTGTACTTGCACATATTTAATATTAACTGCCAAATGCAAACAATTTCACAACATCTAAAAAGATTTTTCAAAATGTGTTACTGGAAATGTCAACATGTCTGATAATTGTAAATACAGTTTTACGGGGGCACACACCCAGCTGCAATGAGAAACACTGAATGTAAACAAAGCCATGTTTGTTTATAATAAAAAGCTCCACAGGACGTCTTCAACATCCATGAATGCCTCCTGACAGCAGGACATATAATGTTATGAAGGCTCTCTGCTAACAGCTGTAGGTGGCAATCCTTGCTAAGTGAAGCCTGCCAAATATTACCATCAGTAATTAGCTACGTCTTGTCCTCTAAGAGGAGTCCGAGTTGGGTGGTAGGTGTAATCCCAGGCTCTGCAGCAGGTTGGAGGCTGGTCCGGCCAGTCCAGCCTGGCAGCTGAGGGACTCCAGCAGGTTTGTGACCAGGTTGAGGTCCACATCAAGAGGCTGGATGTCCTCTTCTCTCTCTTCCACCCCTCCCTCACCTGAGAAACTGTGTGTGGCAGAGGGATGAAGGGAGCCTTTGTCCAAGTCTGGCTTGTTGTAACTCTGTAGAAAGGCCAAAAACTGTCAAACAAAATAACATTCAAGATAATACATGTGTATTATTTTACCTATGTTTCATGAGTTTAATCTCACCATCTGGGTGAAGCTTTGTCCTATATTAGTGCTCATTAGCTCCTGATCCATTTGGTCCATATACCCTCTGAGGCTGTCCAAAGTTTCTAAGTTGTTCGTCTCTTCTGTCTCCTCCACTTCTTCATCATCTAAATCGTCTGAGTCTAGCTCTTCTTCTTTCCTTCCTTTACAATAAAATATATATAATAATAATATACTGTACATTCAGAAAAGAGGGGAAGATGAGGCAGTTTCCCACTGTTCCAAATCTCTCATTACTTCTACATACCAAGGAGTCTGTCCAGTGCGTTGGCCATGGTGTCAGGGTCAACACTAAAAGGCTGAGTTGAGCTGCTACTGAAATACAGAGAAAAATAACAACAGCAAATATGGTACATAAATTAGCTAGATGGGCTGTGAATGTGCAGCAGAGGGAGACCATGAGGAAAAATTATGCATGTTACATTCTGATAAAACTAATTGAGATCTTAGTTAAATATGGCCATAATCAGACAGGTATACTGGCCAGAGAGTCAGTCAGTCTCACCAGGGCAGTTCAGCACCTTCGTGTGATGACATGGCATTGAGAAAGCTCTTCATCCCCTGACTGACTGCTACCAGGCTGTAACCAGTCTCTTCCTCATTCTCAGTCTCTTTCCTCTTCTCCTCTTCATCCCTCACATGCTGTGTCTGTCTGGTGGAGCTGGAGTTTTGGCTACAGAAATCAGACCTCCTCCCACTTCTCTCCTGCAACATACGCTCCAAATCCTGAGCTGTGATATCCAGCCAGCTGTCACCTGGAAACAGACACAAAGGAAAACAAATTAAGGGAAATGGCTGAAAGAGAGAAGGGTAGAGAATGTTATAAAGGACAGAAACTGAGGAACTGGCAGGGAGCAGAAAATCCCAGGTGGCAGAGACAGACAAAGACAATATACTTTCTATCAAGGTCCTATAAAACTTGGAATAGTTACTTTATACTAAGTACAATACACATCTCCACAGCCTGATGTTACACAACATTGGGACCTGTGTGAAGACCAGCCAGGTAGACCTGAATAAATTACACTGAGGTGAGATCCACAACCTCCAAAACAATCCACATGGTATTAACCATGCACCCATTTCAAATTTTTGACAGATAATATCAGAAGTACTTTTACAGGACAACCCTACAAATTGTTTCATGGTGAAAAGAAACATTTTCACTCACTGTCCTCTTGGGGGAGCTGTGACTCCTGCTGCCTCAACTCCTCCAAGTCAAACGAATTGCAGCTGTGGAACAGCTGGAGAACCTCCTCACCTGGTGACAAAGTACTGACAACACACACAAAATCTATATTCAACCACACACACTTGGCTGTCATAGGCATGCATATTCTTACATAACCACAGTTCTTACCTTGATTTTGAGGCGACAAACTGTTTGAAGAAGTTTTCTGCTGATCTTGTCAGTTCTCTGTAACGGGCTGAGCCTTCTAGTTCTCCCTGCATATGACAACAAAAAAATTCTAAACTTTAAACATTTTACTTTAAATAATTCCTAGTATATTACATTTAATACTATGTGTACAATGTGAAATAAAATAAAATAAAAAAAAAAGCCAAGTCTGTTCAAAATGCTAAAGGTGTGACTAACTCGAAAGTAGCCATTCCTTTTCAGACTGTCCATGAAGTTTTTCCACTGAGGGTTACAACTGATGGAGGCATTGGGCTCTGATGACGGCAGCCTGCACTTGGCGCACAGGATCTCAAAGCCATGGGCCTGGGAGTAGGGCACACACACACACACATACAGATACATAATTGTATATAACATGCAAACATTTACAAACATTACAAACCACCCTGTAACCTGCTAAAGCTCAACAATGGATGTATTTATTCCTCCAAAGGTTAAAAGAATGAAGAGGAAAGACAAATGATGGCTCACCAGTTTCATGCCAAGTTCATGAGCTTTGTACTGGGGATGAGAGCGAGGAGGCAAGGTGAAGTTACTCCTCCGGTCTGGAGTGAATTGTTGCTGATGCAGCTGAGCATACAGGCAACGGGTAAATGTCACCTGGAAATAGTTGCACTAGAGGATTATGCTTTTGAAGACATTTCACAAAAGGTGAATCACACATACAAAAAACTAAAATACAATAATATGAAATAAGAATATTTCCTTTAAAAGAGCCAAACTTTTTCAATTTGTCTACACCTACACAAAGATGAATCTTTAAATGTATTTACCAAGGTGAGCACTCTTGTATCAGGAGGAAAGGTCTTGAAGCTTCGACACACCTGCAGATCTATTGGATCCCGCAGATAGAACGCTGACACCGCAGGGGCGACCAGGTCTGGTCGCTGTGCCAACACCTTGGCAATACCTGCGGGTATGAAGCAGTGGGCCCGGTGGAGGCCTGTTTTAATCTTCTCTGGGTACCTAAGTAGAAAGCAGAGATTGCTATGCATTTCAACTGTGACACATTTACATTACCTGCTGGTACCAGCGAGATACTGCTACATACAAATCTTCCTCTTACAAACTATATTTACAAGGCTGTTAATAATCAATTCTTATGCATCTGCAAGTGTTTTATCAAGTTTGTAGTGAATCTGATTATCCTACACTGATTCTGTATCTTAAAAAACTGTATGTGGACATTTTTTCTGTTTTCCTTGCAAGTCTAAAAATACAGAGCTAATATGACCACAGGCAGTTGATGTTAAGAACCTGCAGGAGTTAATAAAGTAATATTGATGTTATCACAAGTCATGTTGCTACTTTTGTTTATGGCAGGTAGCACAGAAGCTGTATCAATGACTGGAACTGTATTTTATCAATTATGAAAAGTCTCAGGCAGACACTGATTGATTGGGTCAGAGCATCACTAGTGGAGAGCATATAAACTTGTAATGATGCTGATTGAGATAAAGATTTGTGGATCAAAATTTGACTTTTATCATGAAAACATCCTCTTACCCCTCCAGTCGTTTCCTCAAGGCTGAAGAAATCTTGGGGCTTGCCTGACAGGTCTTTGGGTGGGTGGAGAGCAGTGCTAGAGCTTGTGCCACACTGGGTACCACATCCTTTGAGACCCCAAATGGACTAGATGTGGAGGGGCAGGGGAGGATATGTAATTCTCCCCTATAGAGGAAGACCTGCAAAAAAGAATGAATAGAGAGCAATGAACAATTAAATGCAGACAATGACAAGAGGATGATATAAAATATCAGTATATAAGTTAAAGAGGCTTTACCAGTGTTTGTTTTAAATACAGTCTTCCATGCAGTAATTTATTCCACTTAAGAATGTGCCTCAACTAACACAGACTGGAAACTATCCAATAATAAATATGATTATTAGGAGAACACACTGAGTTGTGCACACCCGCCCCTAGTCAAAGATACATAATCAATTTGTTGCAATCATTTCTTGTGGACTAAGGCTGGCTTTTTGTCAAGAATCCACCATCCATTCATGCAGTACATAAAATTAAATCATCATATAGTCATCTCATATGGATATCTTACCCTGTTTTCACTGGTGTCTGGATTCAGCCACTTGGGAAGATAATCTGCTGCTTCAATCAGAAGAAACTCCCCATCGTTGTCCTCAACTCTGCACTCATAAACATGAAATGGAAGTTAGAAGAAAAGAAGCCACTGACTGACAAATCAGTGAAAGTAATATTAATATAACAAGCATTATGGACTTTTTTAAAACAATTAATATGAACTCGGTGCACATTCTGTCTCACCTGGCTGCAAGTTCTGGGAAGGCCTCTGTGATTTGCTGCAAGAGGTAAACGATAAACCACTCATCCTCCACATTGTCCCCAAAGTGAGTGCTTCCGCCAATGTGAGCAGGGACACCTCCTGTCAATATTCATATAATTTTGAGACTAGCATTATCAATAAACGCCTAACTGTACTTTTTAATTAAATTCATATGAGGTGTTGACATTACCATACCTTTCTCAGGAATATACTTGAGGTTGAATGACTGATGCTGCCAGATGAATTGGATCAGGAGTGGGGCAACCTTTGCCATAATCTCCTCTACTAGATGTGAAAGATGTTCCCCAGTCTGCTGTGACGTTGAACAGTCTGGTTGTACCAAGAATAGTTTATACTGGACCACGTCCTCCTCAGTCATTCTCCTCTGCATGGTGTCCATTTTTGTTTTTTTTTTTCTTTCTAAAAGAAACATGATAAAAAGACAGCAATGCTGTGATAAATATACATATATATGAGGTTGTATGTAACGATATTCTTGTATTGTGTCCGCACACTAAATCATTTAGAGTAAAGCATTTGCTAAGTTACTGGCACCTCATTCGACCAGGTAATAGTTAGCAATTTATATCATCGGAAATCCAAGATAATCTAATTGTAGTGTCACTCAACCTTACCGTGTCTTGCTTTTAAATCTTATGATATGTCTGTGTAGCCCGGAGAGATTTCAGTGAGAGAAAAACACCCCAAACGTTTCTCGTGCTTAAGTGTTCACATAAGTTCCTATCACACCATCACTGTTTGGGTCCTACTGAAAATTCTACTCGACTACCTTCTTCTTCTTCTATGCCGCCACCTACTGCATCGGAGTGTATAACAGCATTCCAATACCCCAATGGTGGAACGAATAAGCGTTCATGCAGTTTATACCGACCAATTTTGGCTGCTCGAATTATTAAGTAAGATACATTACACCAACTTAGAATTAAAACATACTTACCACGAATTTAATGAAGATCAAATAATGAATTACATAACTCGCATTTTGAATATAGTACACCGTACTCCACCATCAAGGAGCGGATACATTTGAGAAACGCAATCACGTTGTTGCAATGGATTATGGATATTGTAGTAAATTATCTATTAATGTGACGGATGTTTTATGCCAGTTCGAAATCTATTTCCCGTGAGACCACGGGGATGCGAAGCTGCATATCCATGACAGCCGCGTTATTGTTGGTGGTGCTATTAGCAAAGAAAGTCTTCTGAAGTGGCGATAGCTATCTCCAGTAACGCTATGCAGTCATTTAGGTTGTGATATATCTTAAATCAAATGGATTGGCGACTTCTGGACCACGCAATATGCTAATTTCGTATTACGTTAATTAAACGGGAAATGTGTTTTGAGGAATTACAATGTTTTTCGTGCCTTGTTGATGCTAGCTTGTAACGTTACCGCCTCCATAATACGAGCTTATTTGTAACATTGGCGTCTTCCTAACATTAGCTGCAGCGGTTAGAAACGACGTTAGCATCTGTAGCCAGAGCCCTGTTCAGCCGGGTATTTATCCGTGAACTAGAGGAAATGTCAGACCTCTCTATAAACTGTTTGCAGCATGTCCTGGAGGAGGGCGCAAGAATGAAAGGCGAGGGCTTGAGCCTATAAAACGGAGACGAAGGAGAATGATTTCACGATATAACAGGAGACCTGTATCGCACAAACTTGAGATGTGAGTCGCAAATATGAAATGTTTCCACATTTGAACTGATTAGATATGCTGCTGGTTGTACCTGTGTACTGTAACGAAGGCTTCTCCAGCTCTAAGATGGTTGAATGCCCGTTATTCTACTGTGGGGAAAGTAATGTACTGTATGTTAACGTTATTGATTTGTCCATCACTTTAGTATCATCCATCCTGTTTCTACTGGTTATCCGGTTACAGGTTGTGTTTAATGATTTATTAATAATGTTACAACTAATTTCTGTTTATTTAATGCCCTTAATCTGCCTTTTGTAAAGTCGTGGGTTGTCTCGAAGCAGCCTCAGCCACCATCCTCTACCAGAAGAGGCAGATGATAACCAAACTCCTCAGCGCTACTTCCATGACGTCCAGGAAGCTATTTCCAGTCACAACAGGTAACTGAGTCCTGATCATCGTACAGACAGACAGCCCTGAGTAGTTCCGTTGGGGGACAAACCTCAGTAGTGCCAGAGTAAGGCAAAGATGAAATTACTACCAACTAGTACATACACATACTCTTGCCTGTGTGTTTTGTAATGCTAGACTGTCTTGAGTGAACCGCTTTTTCTTGGGGCTCTTGCTATGTGAAATATGACACCCAGAAGGAGTGGATTAATTGATATCATATTGCACAGATATGCAGAATAAGTAATGAAACAGGCTGTTAGAATATTCAATTACTTTGGCACTTGCCTTTTATTTTCCACTTTGAAATATAACACAACAGATGCCCAGTTTACACTTTATCAAAGAAGTCAGCGTGTTTGAATATACTTGTGAATTCACTGGGTTCATACAGGAGATGGTTTGCTGTGGGAAGATGGAGAGCTGGAAACATACATTGTGAACTGTATCCCAGACATGAAATGTGGTGAAACACTTTTCATACTGTACATAAACCTCACACATTCCTCATTCTTTCTGTGTAGCTCAGACACATCTGTTGCCTCAGGCCACTCTGACTGTCCCACCGTCATCTCCGTAGACTCCAGCCAGTCCTGGTCAGGTATCCACAGCTCCACTGGCACTGGCGTCTCCACAGAGAGGAGCTCTGTTTTGTCCTGGGGCTACGATGTACGTTTATTCCCAAGAAAACAATAATGTGAAGTAGTGATGCTAGACTGGCTCTGTCTCTCACACAAGGAATATGCTCAAGCATGCACACACAAATACACATCAGGTTTTTCCTCTATCACTTTTTCATCTTTTTGCTTATTTTGTTGCAAACATGAAGACACTCTCAGATCATTCGGTTATGCACATTTTAAGGTCAATTTTTGGTTATTTTGTTGCAAACATGAAGACTCTGAGATCATACTGTTATGCACATTTTAAGGTCAATTTTTGATCTATGTACCAATATTTGCCACCTTTTTGCAAACCTGTGGAAATCTATAGACCAATATAACCAGTTAGTGTCTTGCATTGTAAATGCCTTGATTGTCTGCTGCTGTTTTGTATATACGAGGCCTGATTCCACTCAGTATTGCTTTATTACACTGTACTTTCTAGCCTCAGTCGGTCATACAAAACGTTTTAAGGACTCAATTATTTATTTAGCTTGTTGTCCTCAATCCACTTCGGGAAAAAAAAAAGTTTTGCAAAGTAACTCACTCTTTCATTTTTTCATTATACTATATGAACAATCCAGCTTGACCACAAACTTACACACATCCCATGAGGCTGTAGAAACAATTTATTATGCATGCTTAAGTTTGAGATTTAAAAAAAAGAATATCAGTGTATTGACAAATCACTGAAGCAGCATCTTTCATTCATTGAACTTTCCTTCCTGTGTTTCCATCTCTTTCTGTTTTTCTGTCCTCTAGGAGTTTGACAAGGCGGCATCACGACAGGTGCAGCAAATGTTTGAGGAGATCGACAAAGAGCTGTATGAGGGGAGAGGCAGTGGTGGAGGGATACTCCAGGGGCTGCAAGATGAATGTCAGCAGTGGGCCACACGTTTCCTACATCTTCGGTATATTATTCATCATTTCCTAGCAACTTCCCAACCTTTTAGTTCCTGAGTGAAACATGACAGCAGTAGGATCAGAGATCAAAGCTGAATTTAGAGATACACCTGAACAAATTCCATTGTGTGGGTGCACGTGTCACTCAGGATCCTAGGGACTCAGCTGCTGTATCCCAGTGATGAGGGCTTCCAGTGGTATGCCTCTTCAGGGAAAGGCAGCTCTGCCAGCAGCTCATCAGCAGGCAAAGAAAGCAGTGTGAAGTCCCAGGACCAAGATAAAGGCAACACAGAGTAAGTCTTAACTGTTCTGACTTTCTGCTTTATTATCTGATAGAAGGGCACATAAAGTCAAAGTTCTTGTGCATCTTTCAGATGTAATGAATATTTTCCTTACTTTTTAAACCCTAAAGCACTGCCTTACTGAGGCAGGACTGAAAATACAATTGGATTGTGATGGCTGTTATATGAAACCTAAGGTTAAGGAGATGCATGGCCACATTCCATTTTATGATTGAAGTCATATCATTATCTACAGTGATTTGAAACGTATATCCATCAGTCATCTGAACTGCATGACCAGGAATCACCTTGGGTCAAATTTACTCAGCCATTGGAATTTGACAAACTGTGATAACAGTGAATACATTTGGACCCATCTAAAAAGTGTATATTTGAAACTGAGCTATTGGATGCTGCTTTATTATTTAAAGACATCTAGAAATATTATGATGTCTGTCTCCAGTGACTGTTGGCTGGCTGTCTGGTGTTAGTGTATTAATCTTGGCTGACTCTGTGGTTTTGTGACCTGTTTGCTCTGGCTTGTTTTTGTGGGTCAAAGTCATGTTGGTTAGCCATGGTGAAACAAGGCTTTCTTGAAGTATTGAAGCTTTGTTATTTTTTGTTGCCAAAATATTCATTACTCTAAGCCTCATTAAACAGTGCTCACTAGTGACACCTACTGGTAAAAATAATTAAGAACAGCCAAATCCTAAATGAACTTGCGCTGCTGCTGAAGCATAAATATTCCTGACATGTTGCAGCTACAGTACTACTGCTGAATCCAGCAAGGATTCTTATATCTTGTTATGGTATGTATGCTAGATTAGCTCCTAGAGAGGCAGAGGTCAAAGACTGAAATAATGAGGAATTATTTTTTTATTCATAAAAAATATATAGCATGTGCAGCCTTGGGTCTATGCGCATACAATTTTATGTGAAAATATTATTTAGGGGCCTAAATATACTTTTGTCTTGGGGAAAGGTTGAACGTGCAGGGCAGGAGAGCAGCACTGATCAACTCCCCCTCAGCAGAGTTGGATGGGCTTCCAAGCACCTCCAGTCGCTCCAGCAGCCACGGCACACCAAGAGTGATTGAAGTAGAGGGTCTGATGGAGGAATACCTGGCTTTTGACAGCAGGGACTTGTGAGTTACTTTCCTCATGCTACGATGTATTGCTCTTTTTCTTGAAACTAAATTTAAACCTCCGCTGCAGTTAATGTTGATGTCCGATTGGATCAAATGATTTACTATATTTGTCTTCTACAGAGAAGATGAGTGGCAGCAGGACTGTTCAGAGTCAGGTCGGAGGCATCACTGTCTGCCTCCTATCTCGCCATACCGCTGTCGTCGTCAAGCTGTTCTTGACCTGCTGTTTGATGATGTGTGGCGGCAGATGGTTGGCTGGATGAAAGAGCTGGTTCAACGCCACTGGGAATTTGGCACCTCAAGTAGAGCTAAACTTTAGTTTTACATGCGTTAGACCAAACTTATATTAACAAATGTCCAATGCTATGCACAGAATTAGGTAGTGATTGTGCATGTGTGATTGACAGATGATGAAAAGACTTCTGGGAAGTTGAGCCCTGTGCAGCAAGACTTCCAGAATTCCTTCATGCTGCCCACAATGCTGCCCAAACTCAGCCAGAGTAGGGTGCCTCCGCTCGCAGCTGGCCCGCAGTTCCAGGTTAGTGGCATGAGGGGGCTGAGAGGCACCAGATTGTGTCTGGGGGAGGAGACTGAGACGCTCATTTCGCTTTCATCATTGTCAGAAGTTCAGAATGTTACCTCAAAACCCACATTTATTTGTTTGTTGAATAGATGTGATGAAACTTAATAATGATAAAAATGTCAACCTTTTATGTATAAAATATAGCTCAAACTTCTGTATTCAAATAACCCACAGTGCAGTTCAGGAAAAGTGGTGTGACATGATGAAAATGATTAAAAAAGAATAAAAAAAAAACAAGTTTGCATGTCGAGTGAACACAGTACCAGTGTGAATCAATACAGAAGTGTCTTCTGGTTTAGTCCATGGTTAAACCCATTTGTAGTCAGGGAGATATCTTACTAAAGCTGACCTTCAAACTGAATCATTTTAGAAGAGTGTATAACAACTGCTCAACATCCTTAACTGTGAGGTCTTTGCAGAGTCACATATCTCTGTTCCACAGTCCACATTTGATTGTCACATGTTTCTCTCCTGCCTGTTACTCTTTCAGCACTTCCAGTTCATTAACTTGTGTCACTGTTTTCTTTCCTTCCCTCTTTACTCTCTGTCCACCACCTTTGCCAATGTGTTTTCTTTTTTCTCTGTTTTTCGGTCTGTTTTAAATTCTGTCTATTTCCTTACATTTTTCCTTCCTTTCTTCTGTATCCATTCTCTTCCTTTCCTCATGCCTTTTTCCTCTTAAAGAACACAAAGTCAAGGGGCTCAAAGCACAAGTCCAGACGGAAATCCAAAAAGCAGAAAAGGCCTCCCACTGTATGTAACTCCCTCATTCAGAACCAAAATGGTGGAGTATTGGTTGCACAATATCCATGGCGGCTCATTATCATTAGCTCTAAAATTGTGCTTGTGCCTGTTGATTAATCCAAAGGCATCAATGGCATTTAACTTTTTAATTAACTGCCACTTTTCACTTTGATTTTGTCTAGATCTTCCTTTTCTTTCACAATGAAAATGTTGGAATGCATTGTTTCGCTAGTTATTGCGTTTGATGCATTAAAAGTGTTGTGAATGTCATTTCTGGTTGGTGATATAACGCCCTCCTGACAAGACTGCATGATGAATAACCCTTTCTTTGAGATTATACTGTATTGTATATATGAAAATAATTAATAATACATTCAGTGGCCTTCATACAACACTGTAAATCCTTTGTATCTAACGTCTTTCCCCTTCCATTGTCTCGTCTCTCCTTATCTCTCTGTCCTTCACCCCTTAATCATTCCTGTTATTTTGCATCTTTTACCTTTCATCCCTCTTCTTTACACTCCCCCACCTTCCCACTGTCTCATTGTTTTCTACCCTTCACCTGATACCATACCTCAGGCTGCAAGGGTCCCGGTAGGAGCAGCAGCGACCCACCACAATCTCAACGACCTCATCGTGATCCACAGCATCCCCTTGCAGCAGAGGAACCAGGGTGTGCTGGATAGAAACCAGTATGGGCACATTTTACTCTTAACAACTGAATATTTGTGCCAAAATAGAAACATAAAAGGCAAATTAATGACATATATACTACATATTAGTATATTCCAAATGTATTATTTTAATTCCTGAACAGAAATGGGGGGGAAAAAAATCTTGTAGTTCTTGTTTTCCATGTACAGGTAAACACACAGCTTTTTGCAAACAATAGGTACATATCTTTGCCCATGCCATGTTTTTGTCCCTTGTCTTAACGCCTTGTTTGGCAGAGCACAAAATCAGTTGGCAGTAGGTTGGAAATGCATCATTCATCAGTTGTGTTCCACTCTCACTCCCACACAGGGAGCCAGAAGAGCGGGCATCCCACAGAACAGGCTCCAGCATGGCTTCTTCCAGCAAACCTCACCCTCGCCGACCGCTGGAGCAGAGCTCTTCCTCGCTGTCCCGCCTGGCACAGTCTGCCCGACGCAGAAACCCTCCTCCCCGGACCCTCCTGCCACTTCCCACCCTGAGTCATGCCAGCACGGCAGGCTCCTTGGATGAGGTCATCCGTGGGACACGTCTGTGAGTTTTAGCATCATGGGAACCATGCCAACACCACTCAGGCTCCTGTCTTACTTTTTACTTCCTTATTCTACCCTACAGTAAGTAGCAGAGAAAGATGAATTTGAAAACACACTCCCTTTGAACTTTTGCCTTATGGCTCTGTGCAGACTGTGCATAATGGGGGTATGAGGTGATAAAAGGTTCATGTGTGAAACCGAATTAACATATGGACTTGTCATGAACCACAGGTGAACGAGTCAGTGTAAAGCCACTTAGTTTTCCTTGTTCATGGATGTCAGTTCTACTGCAAACAGTGCATCATAATATTTTAAGGTATATAAATAAAGATTGCTTTGCTTTGCTTTAAACTCTACGTACCTTCATAAATTTATTTTTTCTGGAATATAACACTTAAACTTTTATTTTACTGTGGTGGAAAATGTCTACAAATCACATCTGTTCATTATTGAAAAATATCCAACAAGAGGTAGAATTCAGACACTTTCATCCTTGCACCTAAGCTGTGAATTTTCACAGAACTCCCACAGTCATCTCTTCAGAAAGAAATATATCTTAATATGTGATGTGGCATAGAAGAATCTCTCTCTGCTTGTTTTTATTGAAGTATGTGTCTTTTTCCACAGACCCACGGCGAGCGACCGCCTGACATCTCCGCTGTTACCTCTAAGCAGAAACACACTCCTTCCGCCCATCAGCTCCGGAGACCAAGATTCGTCTCACTCAGGGCAGCAGTCCAAACTTGCACAGGTACAGGTATAACACCAGCAAAACAACTGTATTGAAAAACTTGTTACAGCACCTGAAGAAACAACAATTAAATGAAGGATTTTTAAATAGAAAATACGTTTTAGAAATCTACCACTAACTCCAAAATATAACCAGTATACAACTTAAATTTGTACAGTAGCATTTACAGTGTTGTATGCATTGGTCACGCAGTAAAGCTAACTAGACAAAGTCTGTGTATTTGTCCATTTTTACCCATTCAACCAGCATCAGAAAGGCCCATCCAGCCGTGCCCACAGTGCTATAAATGATGAAGCTGGCAGTTTGCTGCCAAGGGATCGTCACCACCTACTGGATGTCTTCTCTCGCCCCAACACCACCCACACATACAGGGTAGGATGCTCTGTGACATATCAGAAAACAATATACAATCACTAGTGTTATTTTTCTTTTTGTTTGACCCTTGGCTTTGTTTTCAGTCGGACACTCCGTACCGTCGTTCTTTCACAGTACTGGACAACATCGGACAGGGGCGGCCAGGCAGAGCCTCTGCGGGCACAGGTCAGAAACTCAGAAAAAGAGGATGCTGCTGGAAAATGGATGTGATGTACTGTTGTGGTTCTCATCCTCTTTTGTCAGACTTACTCCCACAGCACTGTCAGATTAGAAATTGTAATTTCTGTTTGATCAAATTAGTTGAGTTACTCTGTAATCTGTCAGTGTACCTTGTAGTGTATACTGTAAGTACCATTGCTTGGGAATCACTGTGTACTGAGACCCCTACTTTTCATCTGCCTGTTTTGTGTTACTTTATTTCTTGCCTGTGCTTGTACCGTACATACCCACTGACTAAGATGGGTCTGTAGTACATCAACTAATCACTTATGCATTAATTTATTCATTCATTCCACCAGACTCTCTTGGAATCGGTGTAACCGGCATCAGTCTTGGCATCAGCAGCTCATCTATCTTAGACTCATTTTCCCACCACCCTTTGGGGCACTTGCCCATCAAAGACGAAGAGGAGCCAGACTCGCAAGCCTCTGTCCAAGGTCAGTAGATTAAAGCAGCTGATGAAATTCTTCCAGACTTTGGCCTCAGATAAACTCTGAATGTGAGAGGTTGCAGCTGCAGGCTTCAAATAAGTGATTTAAGTTCAGGATGTTCATTAACTTGAGATGGCGTTTTTCTTTCCTGTAGCTCCACCGGTGCCTGTGTCAGTCCCACATCGGCCTTACACCCGGGGAGGCATCTCATCCAGAGCCAGCAGACCTGGTTTGTAGTTAGTCCCAACCTCCAACCCTCCAGCCATTCATTTTTATACACCACCAAGGCGTGCAACACTCTGCAGCACACTATACATGTTTGTTTTACAGAAGTAGCATACTTTTTTCATATTATGCTGCTTCAATAAAGTTTTTGGTAGAGGCCTATTTTTGTATTTCAAAAATCAGCTTATGTGCTGCCAAACACAAATAACTGTCAAGAATAACTCCGTGTTAATGTACAGTTTGAGTTGTACAGTGCCTATAACAAGTTTTATTGATTTTATAAATCAGTTATGGTCAATCTAAGCCAAATTATTTTGACCATGATTGATTTATAAAATTAATAAAACGGTAAAACATCCAAGGGGGTGAATACCTTTTATAGGCACTGTATGTTTAGACTTTTGTACTGTGTATTTGATCTGCTTGTATAAAGAATTATACATGTGAATGTACTGTATTTAATTATCCTCTGCTGTTATTGTACTGGTAAGTGACTATGCAGGGAATAACACATCCGCCTAGACAGGAATAGAGAGGATACAAAGCACTTTTATCCCTCTCTGATGATACATCAGAGAGTTTGGTACTGTATCTTTTGTAAGGACACAATTTTCAACCACCCTGTTAAAAAAAAAAAAAAAAAGACTCAGAGCCTCTCATTGCACATCATTGCACACAGAACCAGAACAGGCACCACCTTAAGGGTTTTTGTTGTCCTTCTCTCCATTAAACCTCAGTTAAAATCATAGAAATCACAAGAAGGAATGCGGTGGCTGTGTAAGCACTGAAAACACATTTTCACTACTACACCTCAAGATGGGGCAGTTACTGTACAGAAAACTAGGTTTGTAAATAACTAAAGTAATTCATGTCTGTATAAAATACTGTATTTTGTGTACATTTATCCTTATCCCCTGAGCATAGCAAAGTGGGGATGCTTTGACAGGAAATGTCAAGGCGCCTGCATAAAGAGTAGTTTTTCCTTTATTTGTTATTAATATATTGGACAATAATGCTACAGAGGTGACAAAGCTTGACAATCAGTCTTCAGTGCATTTTCTTTAATTCTACTGTATTCAAAAGAATAAAAAGTGGTGTACAAATTATGTATAAACATGAATTTATGTTTTATTAAGACTTAAAGCCATAAATGACAAGAAATTTGCTGCATTTACATTTCGATAAGTGTCACATAGAACATTAGAGGTCAGAGAAGACCGTTTCATGAGGAGGCATACACATGGCAATTAGACAACTGCTCATACATGTACTCGAATGATCTTATTAATGTAAAATGGTTTTTGGTTTTGAATAAATGAGAATATCTGTCCTGATTTATATGTATTTTATCTGCTGTAACCAGAACCTGTACACCTTTCACTTTTTCCCTCTTTTTCCACTTTTTTTGGAGTATTTTGCTTCCATGTTGGACAGGAAACTGTTAAAATTCTGCTCTCTGGACTTCTGTTTTTGCTGGAAAATAAGAAAGAAAGAAAGGAAGGAAGGTAAATGAAAAAAAGATTAAAAGCAAAAATTTCACACGTGCACTGCGTATGCATGTTACCTTAAGCATCATCACAAGGCTATCGTTATGATCATCAAGCCCCATCTCTTTCTGCATTTCTTCTGCTTCTTGTCGCTCTCTGTCAGCCTGGAAGATCAGGTGCAACATTGCACATTACTGATACTGGGTTAAGATATATTCTAGTACGGTGTCTGTAAATACTGTGCACCTGAGTACATTTTACATAAATACAGAGCAAGGTGCAACATATAATCAAGAGTAATCTTAACATTATCACTGAATATTTTAAATGGAAAAGCTTTTTAAGGACATCTTTTGGCCTCCCAACTATCATGTGAGAGAAAACAAATCACCATTAGAAAAAAAAAAAGTGAGAATGTTCTGGCTTTAATAACATTTCTCACCCTCTTCCTACGAGCCCTCTTCTTCTTTTCACTCTCCCGAGTAAATGCTGGGAACGCTGTGACTTCTCCACTCTGGATTGCAGCTTGGATGATGCTGCAGAGCCTGGGCTCGTCTTCCTGGGAGCAGCACAGAGTCGAGGCTGTGATGGCGTCCATATCTCCCTGGTGCTGTACATACAACTGGATGACATCCCGCCGCTCCTCATCAGACCCCTTATATTTCTGCTCAAATTCAAGGATGTCCTGCACTGTAATCTAGGAGATGGATGGAGAGGCAGAGCAGATTATCAAGACAAAATGTATGACTGTTGCTGGTCAATGCTATAAAACTGTATTAATGTGCAATTTCATGATGCTATAAAAACAAACTACTAGGAAAATACTAAGTATGAATTGATGCTCCGTTATCCACTAGGTACATTTTACATTTCTACCATGGCAAGAGTAGTAAGACAAAAACCTCGAGCCCCTTTTACTGTATATGATCTTAAAAATCCTGGAACACATGTGACTCACACCAGGTATCACATATATAACACAAACAGCAAAGACAAAGCAATGTGTGTGACTCATTACTGAGTATCCTTAAAAAGAGAAAACACCTGCTATGCTCCAGTACCTTGGGGAAGAGCAGTCTCCAGTAGTCTTCCCAGCAGCGGTCTTGACGCAGAATATCAGACTCTTCATCCACCACTCCCTGCTCATCATAAACAGCCCTTTGCTCCTTATCGCTCAACACCGCATAGAGCTTCCCCAACACCTGGAGGGGAAAGGAATCAAGTGATCATATTAGTTAACTTGTGTTAGCTAGTAGCATCAAAACGAAGAAGCTAACGTTAGCTGCTTAGCCTAGCTTGTGTTTATTGTGTGTCGTCTGACAGCCAACAGCGGGGGATTTAACCTGAAATTTCTCTGTGGCCAGCGGGTCTTCAGGAGCCCGGTCTGGATGAACTTTGAGTGACACTTTGTAGTAGCTCCTCCGGATCTCTGCCTCAGTTGCTTCTTTGTTGATGCCCAGTACCTCGTACAGGTTTGACGTCTTGAATAGCTCCTGGCACCGGTCGAGCAAACCCATCCTGACAGCGCCCAGATTTCTCAAAGTACGCTGTCGAGTATTGACTTTCAAGCGACTATACGACTCTGGACAGCTAAATATCGTGGTGTACGGAAATAAGGTATGTCCTGTTTACTGCTTTTGTTGACAATTTATTTGGCGCGCTGGCCTGTCATGCACATCCGTACGTACAATGACGTGCTTACGTAACAAACCTAAGCGCCTTCTTATTGGTTCTTGTTACTGAATTCGTCAGACTATGTAATAAGGTCCTATTGCGCACGCTTTATCTTAAAGTAGCCTACTAAAAGTGTTAATTCTGCAGAATGGAACATTTAACATTAATATATATCACATTATTGTATCATAATTATTGATGCATTATTGTGTAAGCTACATCAGATTTAATATTGCAGCTGGTAATAACTGAGATGTTTTTGTAGCATACTGTATATGCTTATGATTTGAAATGCTGCTGGATAGATTTTGAATTTTGCAGTTAGGATCAATTGAGTCTTATTATTATACGGTCTTTTGTTTTATTTATTTGATTCCGAAAGAAATAACTAAAGTAATCAAATAAATGTAGTGGAGTAAAAAGTTCATTTGTCTCTAAACTGTAGGGAAGTCTTTCAGCAACTCCTTTGGCAGACTTGTAATTTTCATTTAATATTTGGGATTGTGATGAAATGGAAATTTCTTGAAATATTTCAGCCTGTCTTTTCAATACAGCCCTGTTTAGTTACCAAAATACCAAATTTTAATCTTTCTAAAAATAAAATGTGACACATTATTATGGCACTGAATACTGAACACACAGCCTCATTTATTACAGTAAATGTGGAAGTCACTGTATTTGAAAACGGTTTGATAGCATGAACGTCTTATTCGACACTTCAGAATACATACACACACAACAGAGTATTTATTGGTGCATTTGAAGCAGTTCAAGAATACATCAGACAATGAAGCAAGTCACTAAGCATTTTTCATTGTTTCATGCAAAAGCAGAACACAAAGATGCACGCTGACTTTTAACTAAGCATCTGTACTGTGCTCATCTGTGTGTATAAGCCTGTACAATATGCAGCAATGGAGATATACACTGAAACCCCCCATCTCAGCTGTTATCCAGTTATTGCCCCATCTGTTTCTGTTGCATATTTGGCACGTTTCTGTTGCTGTTTTTCTATTGATTTTCTGTCATCACAAATCTCAGATATCCTTTATACTCAGACACAAAATAAGCACTTGGACAACTGGCACATCATTATCATGATCAACAATGAAAAACAAAATGACAAAAGCACAAGAGTTCTATTGTAAATGTTATGAACTTTTGCTGGTGTGCAGATCCTTATCATATGCTTTCCATCCACTTGCACTATGCGTGCAAGTGGAGTTCAAATGTAACCTTTGCTCCTCCAGAGAGAATATTTCCTTGTTATGGTAACAGTCTCTCCACAACAGTCAAATGGCTTCATTCTCATGGTCAGTCTTTAGGGCATGTCCATGGCTGATGCAGTTTCCCCTAAAATGGGACAGTCTAATATCTCCTGTAGGGGGCGGCAGCTCAGCATTCCTTTCTGGTCTTCACCATCTTGCTAGCATATTTGATAGGGAGCCCCCAGCGTCTCATTAGGTAGACATCAAACACATAGGCCATCCCTGGCTCCAGGCCCCCGATCACAGCTGTAGTGACTGCCCGCTGAGGATTCAGCTCTTGGAAATACTTGCAAAGAACCCTCTCGGTATCAGAGCGAGACTCTGGGCCCAGACAGGGCGCTGTTAGAGCTGCTACTCCTCCAGCCTCATCTTCATATATTCCTAATTTTCTGCTGTACACACAGTACAGGCTTCTTTCCTCTGTGCCCATCCAGGCCAGGGTGACACTATTGCAACCACGTAACCGGTTGAAAGATTTTATCTGCAAGGTTGAAGGCAGTGATGGGACCCCTTTGCGGTGGTAAGCTGAGGAAGTCTGCATTTTGACTGAAGCCATCAAACCTCCTGGTAGGCCTGGGTCATTAGCAGCAGAGAGCTGGTCTGTGGCAGTTGCTTCTCTCTCTAAGTGGATGAGATAGGAAGGATTTCCCTGGAGCCAAATGTGCACTAAATCTCCCCCCACAGCCTGGGAGGTCAAAACATGGCCTTTACTGGACACAGTGACCTTAACCTTTTCATCTCCACTGCAGCTCTGCAAGGTGAGGAGGCCACTGTGCTGCCAGCCCCGAGGACGGAAACTGAAAAACTGCTCTGAGCTGAAGTGTCTATCAGGGAAGGTCACCCACCTCAGCTCCCCTTCTCTTAGCGTAGTGATTGCCGGCTGAGCCTCCTCATGTGTTCGAGCAAATGTCCCCTTGTATGCCATGCTAGTCCTATTCACAATATCAATCAAAAAGACATCAAAGTAATACTGGGTGTCAGGCAGGAGCTCAGAGATGGTGCAAACACTCTCTGTCCCCTGACAGACACACTGGAGACCAGTAGACTCAGCAGTGAGGGAAGAAGTTGGACTCTGGGGTTCAGGATAAGTGTCCCACTGCTGCCACCACCACTCTTTCAAAATCGGCCATACTGTCACTCTCCTCTTCCTCTCCTTCTTTTCATGTTTCTGCTCTTTCTCTTTCCTTGTGTCCTCTTGGGCACCACAAAGGCTTTGGTAGTTTTTCTGAGAGTTAATGAGAACACAGTATTCATAACTTTTCTGTGTCTGTGGGAGGCTGGTTATGGAGGCACTGGGCGCCCAGCTGAGGGTGACACTGGTCATGCCTACACCTAAAGTGTGAACTCGAGGGTCAGCTGGCAGCAGAGGGAAGATGCCTGAGGGCCCCAGGCCTTCATGGAGGTACACTGTAGCTCTAGTGTTCTGCTGTTTGGAGCGCAGCCTCAGGATGTAAATGGAAGCGTGGGGATATGAAGGCCCCCTGTAGGTGTCCACTGTATTACTGGTGCGGCTATGTATTTTCTCCTCCGTCCCAGGCCCTTGCCACCACACCTCAGGTGTGCTCTTTTTGGTGCTCCCTGTGTGGAAAGAAATGAATTGAGAACATAGTTATAGAGATATACTTGATCAAAGTCCCACCCCACTCAAATGTGTTTTGCTTATTATTACTTCACCTGGATGTTTGACCTTCACTGTGTACAGTGATAAGGCAAATCAAATATTTTGATTTTAGTGAGCAGTCACTGTGGTAGTAGCTACTATAGAAACTTCATCAACAGAAAACTCCCGGCCATATGATCTCTGGGGGCACATGTTTCTGTGTTAGTTTTGTTACACAGCTTAGTGATAACTGAGAGAACCCATGAGTAAGATCTACAGTTAGAAAGCTGCTACTGTTTTCTGGTGTGTGAATGCTGTTCTCGTGCACATGTGTACAAACACACCCTCTATTTCACTTCTGGATTTGGGGGTTGCAGGATGCATAAGCACTACACATTGCATAAAGTGCTTAAACAAAGAACAAACTGCTATTGCAATGAAAATACTGAGCACCTAATATAAGCAGTTAAATAAATAAAATGTGAATTGCCACTTCAGAAATGGTTGCCAGTATTTTCATTCATGCCTAAAGTGTTTTCATTCTGAAGTACACAGTTTTCATATGAGTGATGCAGCTGGCAAATAAACATGAAACAACCCTTCACCCCTCATCTTACTGTTCCTCTCTCCAGATGGGAAGTTGCTTCTCGAATGAAACCAAATGTTACAGAATCAAAGTGAATAATTCACACTGGTGATGGAGATCCATGAGCTTGGCGTCTAAAAGCAAATTTTCTTACCCAGAAATCTGTGCATCTTTACAGTAATGCTTTGATTTATTTTGGTTTACCTTGAGCATGTATTACCCCGACTGTAGTTTAAAGCTATTTTGTAATTTTGCTGTGTTAAAGTATGTTTAATCCTCTGAGTTCATTTGATTAGTTTGGTTTGCTAAGCATAAGAATTGTGGACTAAGAGTGCTGAACAGTCACTATGGTTTAATGTGTGTCTCATTTCTAAATGTGTGTGTTGTCGAGGGCAGCACAGCGGTGTGGTGGTTAGCGCTGTCACCTCACAGCAAGAAGGTTCTGGGTTTGAGCCCAGGCTGACCTGAAGCCTTTCTGTGCAGAAGTTGCATATTCTCTTCAGGTACTCCAGCTTCCTCCCACAGTCCAAAGACATGTAGTTTAGGTTGATTGGTGACTCTAAGTTGCCCCTGAGTTTGAGTATGTGTGGTTGTCTACATGTCGGTAGCTTTTGACCTTACTTTCATCCTGAACAAATGAATATATCTTGCCAGTAAGATAGGATGAAAATAACAGCTGCCTTATCTGCCTGAGAATTTTTGACAAGGAAATTTGGAAACATTGGTTTCTCAAAAAACATAGGCCTCATGTGTGATATAATTGGTTGATAGGCATCAGTTGATTGACTTATAAATATGATAAAACACTAGACTACAATTGAAAGTGTGGCCTCCAGGCTGCAAACATTAAAAGACAAACATCTCAGTATGTCAGGAAATTATTGCCTCTATATCTCAGTTTGGGAAATCTAACTTTGACTGATGCTTCAAAAAGTTAAGGCTACCCTCTACTAAGCCCTTATCTCTGATGCAGTGATAATATTTAATTGACTGTCTTGGCTTAGGCAGATGATCTTCAGGATAAATTTAAATCTGAGGGTGCAGGCTGTGGTCTTACTGTCTACTCACACTGCAGGCTCTTGAGGGGTTTGTCCTTCAGGGTGCGGGCAGCCAAACCCCATTCGATGGGAGAGTCACATGGGCTCACTGTCACAGACATGGCCGGTGCCTTCTTCTTCAGTGTGAAGTACAGCCTGTGGAGAAACACCAAAGATAACAGCAACGAGTTGCTGATTCTTCACAGGGACTGTCAAAAAGATAACATCCTGTTTGGATTCAGCTGAAAATTGATGCATGAGAAGACGAAA